TTAGATTTTTTTTAAATTTGAAAAATCTACATCTAAAATGTTTTAAATCTAAAAACCCATTATAGAAAATAGTGTTATCTTTTTTTGAACTTGTGCAGTTAATTCCCTTAGGAATCTTAAGAGAAAGTTCTAAATATTTATTTTTATCACCATACATTAATTTGTGTATATATTGTGTCCTTGTATTATGTAATTCTTTCATTAAGCCTTTTATCTTTTGAAATCTAACACACATTAGAAAAATATGAAAAACAGGGGCGCCTGGGTGGCTCAGTCGGTTAAGGATCTGCCTTCAGCTCAGGTCATGATCTCAGGGTCCTGGGATCAAGCTCCCTGCTTAGCAGGGAGTCTGCTTCTCCCTCTCCCTTTGCCATTTCCCCTGCTTGTACGTGCGCTCTCTCTCAAATAAATCAATAAAGTATTTTTTTTTTTTAAAGTATGAAAAACAAAAATGTACAACCCATGTAAACTGCAATCCAGGTCAAGAAGTAAACGTTACCAGTACCCCCAGATACCCCCATCATGCCCTTCCCAATCACTGTACCTTCTCTCCTCACCCCTAGAGTTAACCACAATTTTAACTTTTACATTGATCACTTTCTTACTTGCTCCTATTCATGCATTTGAAATACTATGGTTTAGTTTTATCTGGTCTTTGGTTTTTGGTTTTGTTTTTTTTTGTTGTGGTGGTGGTTGCTGTCTTTGAAATTTACATAAATGGAGTTAATACAGCCAAGTATCTTTTTAGGTTCAACATTTTTCACTGGAAGTCATGTTTGTAAATGTAGTTATAATTAGTTTTCATTGCTGTGGAGCGTGTACGGTATCGTTGCTGTATGATATGAACTCACCACAAGTTATTTATCCATTCTGCTGTTTGGGGCCCTTGGGAACAATGCTGCTATGGACATTCTTTCATATGTCTTTTGATACGACATATCACATATTTCTGATGGGTGTATATTTTTTTTGTTTGTTTGTTTTGTTTTTCTTTTTTTGTTTTTTTTTATTCTTATGTTAATCCCCATACATTACATCATTAATTTTAGATGAAGTGTTCCATGATTCATTGTTTGTGCGTAACACCCAGTGCTCCATGCAGAATGTGCCCTCCTCAATACCCACCACCAGGCTAACCCATCCTCCCACCCCCCTCCCCTCTAGAACCCTGTTTGTTTTTCAGAGTCCATCGTCTCTCATGGTTCGTCTACCTCTGATGGGTGTATATTGGCAGGTCATAAGGTATATGTGTTTTTAACATTTTTAAAAGCCATATTTCTTTACCACCAGAGGGCTCTTGCAAGCTCCCATTGCTCTGTGTCCTAGCCACACTATTATTTCAGCCTCTCTGTATAGGGATACCACATGGTTTTCATTTCCATTTCCCTCATTACTAATAAAGTTGAACAACATTTCATATATTTATTGGCTATTCTGTAAAGTTGCTGTTCAAGTGTCTGGCTCTTTTTATACTGTGTTGATTTATAAGTGTTCTTTACGTATTCTGGATTTGAGCTGATCGTGCAGTGTATGTGTTCTAGACCTCTCTCACACCCGGTTGTTTGCCTTTTCACCATCCTGAAAGATTCTGCTGAAGCTCAGAAATGCTTAATTTTAACATTTTCAGATTCACCCAAGATTTCCTTTATGATTCTGTCCTCTTTAGGAAGTCTTTCCCTACCCTGAGATCATGAATATAATCCCATATGTTAACATATGGATTTATCATTTTGCTTTTCATATTTAAATTCAGAATGGACTTTTTGGTATGTTTTGAGGTAGGGGTTAATTTTCATTTATTTCTGGATGGATAATCAATTGTCTTAGCACTATTCATTAAAAAGATGATCCTTTCCCCACTGCTTTGTAGTTCCACCCTTGTTGTAAATTGTCTGTTATGCCTAGGTTAATTTGTGGGCTTTCTATTCTCTTAGTGTATTTTACGTTGTTTTTGTCACATTATCTTAAATAATGTAGCTTTATGATAAATTCTGATACTCGTAGAACAGGGCATTCTACTGTGTTAATTTTTTATTATTTTATTTTATTGTGGTAAGAACATTTAACATGATGTCTACCCTTTAACAAATGTCTAAGCGTACAATACAATATTGTTAATTATAGGCACTACATTGTACAGCAGATTTCTAGAACTTATTTATCTTGGATAACTGTAACTATATACTCGTTGAACAGCAACTCCCCATTTTCCCTACCCCCACCCTTTGGCTACCGACGTTCTGCTCTCTGCTTCTGTGGTTGTGACTATTTTACATATTTCATATAAGTGGAATCATGCAGTATTTGTCTGTGTCTGGCTTATTTCACTCAGCATCAGGTCCCCAGGTTCATCCATGTTGTCACATTTCCTTCTTTTATAAGGCTGAATAATACTGCGTTGTATGTATAGACCGTGAGCACTTCGGGATTAGCTTGTCAGGCTCCATAAAGAAACCTGTTGAGATTTCAACTGTTACTGCATTTCATCTGTAGATCAGTTTAGAGATAATATTACAAAATTGGGCTTTCTGATACATTACAATAGTATATCTGTGTAGCGCTTCTCAGTTTGCTTCTATTCATAGTTTTCTGTGTAGAGGCCTCATGTATCACTTGTACGTTTATTCGTAGATACTTGATATCTTATGCTCTAATATAAATGCTAATTAAAAATTTTCTTTTCAATTTTTATTTTAAGTGGGCTCCACACCCAATGTGGGGCTTGAACTCATGACCCTGAGACCAAGGAGTCGCTCACTCTATCAACTAAGACAGCCAGGCGCCCCTAAATGCTATTTTTGAATAAATTTTATTTTTAGATTTGTCGCTGGTGTATAGCAATGTATGGACTTAAAATTTTTACCTTTGTATACAATTGTAATTCATCTGTGGACTTTAGATTTCTTTTGTACCTAATTACATAATCTGCACCTGAGGACGGTTTTATCTCCTCCCCTCCCAAATCATTATACCTTTTATTGCGTTGCGTTGGCATTGCGTGCGTTGCGTTGCGTTGCGTTTAGTAAGGCTAGGACTTACACTGGCTGGAATCTCCACTACAGTGTTGACTAGAAGTGGTAATAGTTGGTACCATTGTCACATCCCCAGTTTCAAAGGGGAAACATTCAAAAACTTTTCTCTTAAGTATGATGTTACACATTGCTAGATTTGGTTTGCTAATCATTTAATTTAGATTTTTAAATCTAAGTTCATGAAAGAGAAAATTCTGTAATTTTTCTCATAATGTCCTGGTCAGGCTTTCACTTTAAGGTTTTGCTAGATTCTGAAAGTCAACTGGAGAGTTTCCTCTTTCCCTCCTATCTGGAAGGGTTTTCCTAAGACTAGCAGTATTCATTAGAATTCACCAGTGAGGGCACCTGGGTGGCTCAGTCGTTAAGCGTCTGCCTTCGGCTCAGGTCATGATCCCAGGGTCCTGGGATCGAGTCCCACATCGGGCTCCCTGCTCGGCAAGAAGCCTGCTTCTCCCTCTCCCACTCCCCCTGCTTGTGTTCCTGCTCTCGCTATCTCTCTCTGTCAAATAAATAAATAAAATCTTTGAAAAAAAAAAAAAAAAAGAATTCACCAGTGAAGCCTTCTAGCTAAAGGTTTTTAGTTTTGTTTTTTGCTTGTTTTGGAAAGGTTTTTAATTATAAATTCAATCTCTTCAGTAACACTGTTCAGATATTCTATTTCTTCTTGTGTGCATCTTCGTTAGCTGTGGTTTTCTAGGAATCTGTCCATTTCATCAGAATTTCAAATTTATTGGGAAAAAAGTTGTTTTTACTATCCTTTTATGTTTTTGTGGTCTATAGCATATGTGGTGATGTCTCCTTTTTCATTCCTGATTCCTGATATTTGCTAGTCATGCCTTCTCTTTCTTCTTAAATTGGACTCTCTAACATTTACCTATTTTTAGTACTCTTTTCAGATAATTTGTTTTCATTATCATTTAGTTACCATGGGTTATTTCCAAGCATATAGGTATTGTTTTCTTTACTAGGAGATAGTTTTGATTTCTAGCTGATTAAAAGACCTATTCTGAATGATTTCTGCCATTTGAAAATCTTTGCTATTTGCTTCATTTTTATAAATAGTTTTGTAAAAATACCACTACGTGCTTAAGAAGATGTGTATTTCATAGTTGTGGGGTATGCTGTTCTGCATATTACCATTAGGTCAGTTTTGCTTATTGTGATATTCAAATCTTCTACATATTTACTGTGTTTGTCTGTTTGGTCTGTTACTAAAAGAAAGTATGCTAAAGTCATCCCCACTGGTTGTAGATTCGCCTATTTCTCTTTCTAGTTCTGGCAATTTCTGCTTTCTATATTCTGAGCCCATGTTACTAAATACATGCAAATTTGGACCTATTTTGTCTTCCTGGTAAATTGAAAGTTCAAACTGAGTTTATCTCTTCATCTCTAGTAATGGTTATTACTATTAATGGCTAACCTTGACTGATATTAATGTAGCTACAATTTTCTTTTAGTTATTATTTGCACGATAAATAATTTCCCATCCTTTTCAACTTTCTGTTTCTCAGTGTTTTACATTATTGACTTATAAATAGCAGATAGTTTTATTTATTTAATCAGAGTTTACCAATCTTTGTCATTAAAGACACAGTGAAGACATTTACACTTACTGTAATTGAGTCTGAGTCTGTGTTAGTCTTTAAACAACAATTTTTCACGTTCCGAAAATAGTTCATTAACACCTGTGAGTGTAAGAAATTTATCCTCTCTGATTTGTATATAAATGTGTAGGGATTTATGAAACCTTCTCATGTCCTATTATTTCTTTGACTGCTATGTAATGAAAAGAGATCCAGGGACTAAAATACACTAAGAACAACGTTTCTGATTTAGTGTTTTGGGAATTTTGCCGGCAGCTCTTGTCTTTATTGTGATTTACCTAATTCCAATAACACAACATTAACGATGTATCTCTTAATATATCTTTTTCACAAAATACTATAAAGATTTCATTCTTGATTACAGGGCTGTGACTCCCAAATGAGTGTGTCAGAAATGTCCTGTAGTGAAAGTACATCCTCATGTCAGTCTCTTGAACATGGCTCGGTTCCAGAAATTCTCATTGGCCTGCTTTATAATGCCACAACTGGAAGACTATCAGCAGAAGTGATAAAAGGCAGCCACTTCAAAAACTTGGCAGCAAACAGACCACCCAGTGAGTGAAAAAAAATTTTTTTAATGCTTATGTTTTCTGCGCTTACGGGACTCTCAGTGTTAGGGGCCTCAATCCTATCATTTAGTCTTAACCGATCAAAATGAAATGGTATAATCATCAGCCAATCTGTTTCATGTTTTCTATTTCCAGTCATTTGGGAAGTAGAAAAATTTGAAATTCAAAATATTGTAAGGTGACAAGACTTTTAATTTTTCATAGTGTCTGCCGAATAAATTATCCCTATTATAGCCATTATCTTCCAATGCTAGAAAAAGTTACAGAGTTTTTTAAAGTTAGTAATATTCCACAGATATGGTCAAGAATATATATGGCTGTTGGTGTCAACGGAAGAATGATGTGGTGTTTTCTGTCTGCATGCAGTACTATGAACTAATGTTAATAATTCTGTATTTTTTCTCTTTTCTCTGTTAAGATTATTTAAGAAGAAACTGTTTCCTCACATTTTTCCTCCTTTAATATTATAAATTAGTACTGCCAGCGAGTCTTTTCTTAAATGGCTTGGCTTTGCCTTTCCCAGGACAAGTAGAATAAGGAATAGTTTGATATTTCCCCTAGATGCGAGGAGAGGAAAGCAAGATGGGGTACTGTGCCCTGCTCTATATGCCTGTCACACCTCCCTCCTTATCTCTCTTCCTGCTCATGGGGGTGGAGGCAGATTATGGGAGTGCAGAGAGATCGTCGCTCACTAGACCTCCAAAACCGTTTGTCGATATCTGTAGGAATGAGTTGAGAACGTAACAGCTTCTTTATACTTCTCTGAAATCAAAGCTGTTAGTCTCCTAAGCTAAAAAAGTTGAAAGGAAATCTTGAATAGTAATGGCCACCTTAAATTTACTTAAAGATTTCTCACAGACTTGCTTAAAGCCATCTTTTACTCAGAGTCTCAAATAATTATTGGAGGGGAAACTTTTTCCTCCCTTGAATTAAATTAATTCATTTACCTCCAGATGTCTTCAACATTGTCTTTTTAATTCAAGTGAAAAGTCACAAAAATATATTTGGTTTTCCCTAAGTAATATTGGAAACCTTGCTTCTTACAGATATCATGGAATGTATCTATTCCTGAATTAAAAGTCAGAAGGCCAAAATTATGTGTATTCTTCTACCCTTGGATGAGTAACCTAACTCCCCTAAGTCTGTTTCCTCATATGTAAAATTGAGGTTGTGTCTGTCACAGGGTAACTGTGAGACTCAAATCAGATAAAGGTGCATAAAAGAAGGATGGAATTATTATTGTCCCCTTTCTCCTTTCAGAAGGAAGAGTTCAGAGGGAGGAAAGAAGCAATTACTAGAATAAACAGCTTTGGAAGTGTGACCTGGGTTCTCTTTTTTGATACATACTTAAAATGCAAACTCAAATGGTCTGGGAAGTAACTTAAATGAACAAACTTGGCAGGTGAAAGATAAGGAGCATTGGGAGGCAGTGACAAATGCAAGCATGCATACCCTGCCTCGAGACATTCAGAGTCAAAACTTCTGAACACTGTAACAGATAAACAAAATATTATGTGGGGTTACATCCAGCCAGCAGCTCTCAGCTTGCCATTCCTGCTTTAGCTAACAGTTTGATTTTTTGACGTATATTTATCTTGAGATGCTAGAAGCTAGCAGAATGGAATGATATGCTTGCCTTTCTGTCCTTGCTTGTACCCACTCTGATAGAAACAGAGAAACCAGAACTAAAATGAAGAGGAGGGGGAATGGAGGCAGGGTGGATAATAAACAGGTTGAGAGATTAGCATCCACAACTTAGAGTAGGTGTTTTCAGGTTAAAGAGTAAGTTAGAGCAATTTCCATTATTTTAGAATTAGATCTTCAATATCAGGGTGGTTAAGGGTGTTAGCTGGGAGGCAGCTAGTAGGTAAATATAAGTCAACATTAAAATTAATTGTATGTAAATAAAATCTTTAAAAAAATTGTACGGAGTATTTATAAAGTAAAATATAATACAGTTTTATCGGTCTGTCTTATACTGTCTATGTTATAGAAGATTGTGACTCTTCGTATATACCTAGTTCTAGGCCTTGAACTGTGTTATCAACTGAATAATCCAGAGAAACAATCGGAACATTCAAGAGCAAAACTTTTAATAGTCCTATTTTATTTTGTTTAAACTTAATTTTTTTGTATTACATTGAAAGTAATAGAAGTATTTGAAATATTTACTATTGCATGGATAGACTTCAAAACTTAGCATAATAGTAGTCTTACAATGACTTTTATTCAGTCTTTTATATAGTCTGATAATTTGCATGATTCTATGTTCAATGTGCTTTAGACCAAGAGGATATCATTATAAAGATGTTCCCCCTTTAAAACAGTGTACTTTTTGTTTAAGATTACACAAGGACCTTAAAAATTCTCATTCCATGAAATTTACCCAACAACCCTTTTGTTCAACCCCTCTACCTGAATTAAAATGCTAAAGTTTTGTGTTCTTCCAACTCCAGTGAACAGTGTTTCCTCTTTAATTCTAACCTTTGACCCTCTTTCACCCAACAATTGACATCTGGTCATTATTTCTTTTACTGCTTTCCACCCCCTGTTGTCAGATGGACTGTTCTGTTGTCTAAAACACTTGATAGGTGGACAGGTTTATATAATCCGAGGTGAGTTCCTGTAGAGGCTAATTGGATGTTGTCTTTTCATGCAAAAACAAAATACCCTAAAACTTGCCAGCAGGGAAGCTGTCCACCATGTTGGTTTCCAAAAAAATGCACATTTATTATCTGTGGTACTTTAAATAAAACTAACTTAGAATTTATCTCTGATTATGGATGATGGTATTCAGAGTATGTATAAAATAAGCAAAACTTTTTAAATTAAAGGTTTTATTTTTCATGTATTGTATTTTGATTCATACAATAGATATCTCATGAGAAATATTGCAATTTTCATTAAAATTAATTGAAATTTTGATATGAAGTACACATGATGGATCACCATGCTGAAGATCATTTGCATGAGTCTAAAGAACCTGAAAACACAGTTGTTTGAAGAGAGGGTTTATCTCCCAAATAATCAGGCAATGAACTGTTATGTTTCACTTTGTACACTAAACATCACATCCATTTTTTTTGTAATTCATGAAAACAATTAAGAATACCATACTTTAAATTTTACATTAAATTCTGCCAAAAAAAAAAAAGAATCCTGTAGTATTTATTTTAACTATCCAAAAAGCACATTAAATGTACTCTTGCATGAAACCAGGAGAAAGTTTTCCTTGATTTGCTAAACTTTGAGCCCTTAATGCATTTGGCTTCATTTTGGCCCTTTTAAATGTTTTTAAAATATATTTAAAAACCACATCCATGCAGAGATTTTTTTGACATTTCATCCTAAGCTGTTTTGATGTCATCTTTGCATTCTTGTCTTCTTTTTCTCTTTACCATTTGCCTTCATTTCTATTTGTTTGTTTATTCTTATTCTCTGAAAACACAGTGGAATGCTTTACAGTGTTGTGGCTAATTGAGCTTGCTAAGTGTTTATTAATGCTATGATGTCCTGCTTAGTGAAGCTAAATGGGGATGGGGTTGGGTAGGGGTGGTAGTGGGAGGTCAAGGATTGGGGGTGGGAGGGTGGAGGAAGGATTATGAGGTATACCTTTAAATTCTAACTATGACGTAGAAGTAGTGAGGTTGAGATATTATGACCCACAAAAGATTTGCATTCTCTGTACTTGTCACATTCTATAAGCATCAGCATCAAAATGGAATTCGTTGAATTTCCATTAAACATGGTATACACCATATCCTTATAAAGTATAAAGACTTCACGTTCTCAGCAAACATCACAAGAAAGGTGTTTTGAGTTTGTTTCAAATGATATTTGTGGTATGTTTTGTTTTTTTTTTTCTGTAGATACGTATGTTAAATTAACTCTCCTGAATTCCATGGGTCAAGAGATGTCCAAATGCAAGACATCCATCCGCAGAGGGCAGCCTAATCCAGTATACAAGGAAACTTTTGTTTTTCAAGTGGCCCTATTTCAACTTTCTGATGTGACACTCATACTGTCTGTGTATAACAAACGCAGCATGAAAAGAAAAGAGATGATAGGCTGGATTTCTTTAGGTCTGAACAGCTCTGGAGAAGAGGAGCTCAATCACTGGACTGAAATGAAAGAGTCGAAAGGACAGCAAGTGTGCAGATGGCATGCGTTACTAGAGTCATGATGAATAGGGTCACCAAGCAATTACAATCCAAGGCAGCATTATCTCTGATTGCAGCATCACTGTTTTTACCTAGTCACCATTAGAAGAGCTGTTCTTCGAAGCATCATCCTCAACATTCTACCAGAATGCGTTAAGGTCTGCGGAAAGAGCGTCTAATACTGACACAAATGAAGAAAAGATGTGTCTCTGGTAGAGCTTGTTTGGGAAATGAGACACTTGCATCATCATTGTTAACAGTCCTCCAGAGCTTTAAGAACATACTTTTGGTTTGAAGTTAAGTTTACTTTGGCAAAAGAGCCAGTAATTTCATGAAAAAAAAAATCAAAACTATAAGTGATTTTTTTAAATCAGAATTTTTAGTTGCAACACTGTTTTAGGATCACCCTACATGTTAACCAGGAAACACGTATTTTGACTGGCCCATCCCTGGTGTTGGCAATGTTCTTTAAGCTGAAAAAGTAGGTCTCCAGCTCTATCATGAGGCATATCTAATGGTGAAGGATTTCAATTACATAGAAAATTGTCTTATTTCAGAAATTTTCCCTTTGTGCACTTAGTTTCATTGTGCCTCAGTTCTTCTCAATAGCACTCAATCTCAAGTGCAAGCAAGTATTCATTTTCATAAAGGAATTTTTCTGTATGTTATTTAGAAAAGCCCAACAACTCATTTCTTCATTTGCCTCTGCTTTTGCCTGATCCAAAGAGACCCAGTCCCTGGGCTGGTCCTTTGCAAGAGTCTCTTAGACAGGTTGTACTGTAGAACTACGTAACTTTCTGTTGAAAGCACTTCCTGTATTCTTGTATTCCAATGTAGGAAGCTAATAGAGCAGGACTTTCCTTTCAAATCCTTTCAACAATTGACTCTTTAAAATTGTAGTAATGTGAAGATACGTTTTTTTTTACAAACTAAAAAAAAAATAGAGTAGATAAGCTGTTGAAAATTGAAAACCGTTCAAGTTAAAGAAAATGTTAATTGTCTGCTCTGAGAATGGAATGACCAACACTGCATAAAGCAGGGATAGTTCCAATAAGAAACTGTTCTCTCTCTAAATCTTCTTCAGTCTTACTTCGATTTGTACTTGTGATCTAAAGACTCTCCAGTTCTCAGTTTGAATCAGAACATCATGTTAAAAACAGTTCTGAGATTCCTTATGAAATTTCTAGTGACCTGTGACTAGATTTTATGGAACTTACAGATACGTTCTTCAACGTGACGTCATTCTGTGCCTTTCATGTAAGTTACATTTGCTCATACAGCTTGAAAGTTGTATTTGCAAAATTAGGCCTTCAATTTTTATAAATGTAAAGATTCCTCAGAACAGTGTCACAAGATCTTTATTTCCTCTGAAGTATGTAAAAGTTGTATAATGTGCTAATTTTTTTAAATGGCAAGGCATTTTCATTTGTTGTTTTTATATTTAGGAACTCTTATTAATCAGGAATATCATAAGCTGTTTTCTTTTTAATTTTGCTTCTTGCCCAGTATATAATTTATGCATATACTTTATTAAAATAGAATATGTTTTGTATATATGAAAAATACTTTCTTCTCTTTCTAATTTCTAATTAAACTAGACAAAAACATACTATTTACCAGTTACTAAAAAGCAGCATACCATTGTTCCTAGTCCCAACTAAGCACTATATATTAGTGCTTGTTATTACACGAGGACTTGTTATTACCACAATAACAAAACCGTGCATAGACATTATTATTTCAGCTTGGCTCTACTGAAAGGCCTTAAAAGAAATCCAAAAAGACAGTGAACTCCTAATATTTTTTAGTTTAAAAAATGGCAGCTCTATGCACCCATATACACGAATTATAAGATAAAATACAGATGTTACATTGGGTGACCTGAGGTTTAAGAATGTATGTTACAGAGTTGCATTAAAGAGAAAACCCATTCTTCTATTGTTACACTAACGAGCTTTTTCCAGGGTTTTTTTAATAAATGAGTTAAGTTACAAAGTTAGAATCTGTATCAAATGGTGAAATATCTCATGTACATATTTTCAGCAACAGTATGGGAAGAGATTTGAAGGGGGGTTGTAGACCTTAGTGAGAAATTGGATTTAAGCATTTCACACAACGAGGATCTTTTCTGGCTTTGAAACAACTGACTGCATTGCTAAGAACTGGGATCTTCCTAATGGAAAGAGTTAGTCTTAGTCATAGCTGTAACAAAGCCTAATCAGTAATTGAACACATTATGAGACCAGTGTGGTGCTTTCTCCTTCAGTGATGAAAAGACCTAACTAGCTGTTATTTGCTAAATCTGGCTTTCTTCAGACTCTGCCCAGAACTGTGTGTGCGCTTTGGTCTGTCATTACGGGGTTATCTGGTATAGATATCAAATCCAATATGGCTTAAAAATTAATCAACAATATTAAAGGTTTTTCAAGAAGGACCCTACCTCCACCCCAGCTGCCAAGTCCTCAAAGATTATGAATTTATGTGTATGTGTATCTGTATACACACACATGCCTATACGTACACACACACACACACACACACACTTGTAAAGGTGAAGGTGCCCTGGCTTTTTCCAATAACTAATTAGAGAAACGTTTATCAAGTTTATGGATTATTTTTCTCCTCTGTCTATTTACTAGAAATTATATTTGGTTTTGGGTGCTATTTGCTACCATTCTCCTCCACACACAGCAAAATATGTATATTTTTATCTTGTGGGTTGACACAACTTAGCGTAATTACTCCCCCAAATTTATCTATTCTTTTAGAAAAAGATTAAATAGGTCTCGAGAGACCCACTTCACTCTACTGAATCTAATGTACAAGACAGTGCTATTGCTCTTTTGTGTGCTTAAATTTGCATGAAAGCGTAAAGGCAAAATCTTATATCTCAGCAGTTTGCAGCAAATAGGGGCCCACCGGTGGGCAGCAGGTGCTGTCTCAGAAACTTGAGCAAGACAACGCACTTTCTTATTATTCTCTTAAAGTCCCCTAAGTTTTATAAAAAATGAGATAGTCCAAATATGGCAATTGACTGGCATTCATGAGAGCTCCTGAGCCTGGAATTACGGGCTTTATCTGTCTCCCAAATGAGCTGCAAAATGTAGTTGCTTATTACTGCCCAGGAAACAGAGGGTATTTCAAATCAGTAAAGAATTTGTTTAGTAGAATATCCTCTTACCTTTCAGAAGCGTTCTTCTATACTCTCGTGTCTTCTGTACTGTCCACATTTTGTGTGAAATCCATTTATTTGTTTGTCTTCTTACTATGCATTCAGTGAATTCTCCATAATGTATTTAGTGTCAGAAATAATAAATTGGACCACAATTTTAAATTTAAAGAAAAGCCAGTAAGAAAGTATCGAAGCTACCTTGATTAGTATACACATAAGTTTAAGTGTAGGGCCTGGTAGGGTGGTTTCATCCAGCCTAGTGCAGATAGATGCCCAGGGCTACATGTTAAATCATTTTCTTGATACCCTCATTATTTTCATTTACTTCTCAGGTGAGTCAGAAGTATAATCACTGATCGCAAGGTAAGACAGCATCCATAGGGTAAGAGGTCATAGAATTGAGGGTGTTAAGATGAAGATGGAGACCAAATGAGATCACAGCTTTTCAAGTGAACTGAGAGGCTATTTGAAGGTATAAATCTCAGATGAAATAAGAACAGTAGTCACCAACAAATTTTATCCTGATATGAATAGAAATGACACAAATCCACTGGCCTAAAATTGCCATTCGCCTAGATGGACTAGATGGACAATTCATAGAGATTTTTCTCATCGATGGTCATTACATTATTTCACACTGATAGTTCTCATCCATCAGTTTTTATTTCTTGTCTTCTTCCATTCACCCCCCCCCCCCCCAGCTCACCCATGGCCTGCACTGGAGGTAGCCATCATCATCCCCACCAACCAAACTCAATATTGAGCAGAAAGCTAAATATGCGATGAAACATTTTTTTAATTAACTTTTAACACATCATCTGTGCCCACCAAAATGTATAATGATGATGATGGTAACTGCTATAATTTATTAAGGTCTAGCATTATAATTTATTATTTCTTTTGATTCTCACAACAATGCTATGAAGTAAAGAATATTTTCAGATTTTATAGATGAAGAAACTACAGCATAGGGGTTAAGCAGACTTTTAAGCCCAAGGTCATCCAGTAAGTAAGTAGTAGAAATGAGATTAGAACCCAGGTGTAAATTACTCTAAGACTTATACTACACTCACTGCAATTGCATTCCCTCTTTACCAGTTGCAAGAAAAACAGTTAGGACAACATTGTATTCATCAGTAATCCCATCCACCTAATGGAATGGCAGAACTAGAAAAAAAGAAGGAAAAATGAGAGCTTGGGAAAGAGAAACACAAGACAAAGAAGATCAGAGATTTTTTTTCCCTCAGGATACAAATGGTACTTCTGTGTAATATTGTGTAGATGACTTTTGATTTCCAGAGACTTGGAAACTAATTTACTCTACAAATTTAACCTATACTTATATTCTGAAAATATGTTAATCAATTGGTTCTGCTCCTTATCTACTTTTGGGAATCCAAGATGTTTTAATTGTATATGATCGCCTTTCTATGAAGTAGATATCCTGTATCCTTTAGCAGGTATCTTGCCCATATCAGTGCTGAGAGAAATGACCCTTTCTTCCTCTGTGCTGTCATTGTAATTTATTTGTTTCTTACATACCCTTTATTAAGGTATAACTGCATTACAGCTAATTTTATTACATGTCTTTCTTTCTTCCTTAATAGTAGTAAATGCCTTGTCTTACTATCTTTAATGTGCCCCTTGCTCATAGTAGGCATATAATAAATACTGAATCGAACTAAATTTCCTATAAAGAAATCAATAATACTGTTATATAGGTCTCAGTTTTATGAATCTTATGTAATGCATGGATTTATTTATTCTTTTATTTTATATATATATTTGTAAGGGGACCTACTATGTGTCATGTATTGTTCTAAGTACTACAGATGCAGAGATCGTATATTAGAGAGACAAAGTCTTTTTGCTCTCATGGAGCTTGCATTCTAAGGTAGGAAGATAGCCAAAGAATGATATGCATTTAGTAGAGTACAATGTGGGATCAGAACAATCTTCCTGGGGAAGTTTACCCCTGAGGTGGATCTTAAAGAACAAACACAAGGAATATATTCTCTCCAAGGGCAAAATCTGAAACAACTGTAGTATGTCCCCAAA